GAATTTGCATGGATAATAATTTGCGCCCAGATACTATGAGAACTATTTTTTATTCATGTGAAGCAGAACTTGTTCAAAATCTTATACATGAAAGGATCAAGAAGAAAAGAAAAGCTGTGGTTTTCAACTCGACATTTAGAATCGACGATTTATCTCACTTATTGACGATTAACATTGGTTATTTTCATTCTAATGTCGATTGGATGTATCCCAATGGGCTTGGAATAAACGAAAATACAGAGTCTGACACATCTGCTTGATATTTTGCATATTTTACTAGTAAAAACCGTTAATGTGCTGTCTTTTAACAATGAGCCAAGTTAATCTTTGAAGATACAAATATTATATATATAATATACTGAATAATTAAATAAAGAAGAAAGTTTAAACGTTGGCTTTTGAATAAAACATAATATACTCTTATAACAATAACAAGCTTAATGTTTTTCATTTTGAGAATTTCTTTGAAATTTGAAAATACAAAAACTTAACAAGGTTGTATACTAAATTTCGGTTTGTAAAGTAATATAGATATAAACAAATCCACAAAGTAAATGAATTGTAAAAAAAAAACAATTGGAAGTAAAAAAATGCTTTAAAATTCCTTGTTAAACAAGTGATTTGTTGTTATCAATGAAGTACAAATGGAGTTATGAAGTACGGCTGGTCTGACCGTTCGACGGGGCACGCTTACTCCTCCATTGTACCTTATCCATCTCTGGTATTTAAAGACGTCCGGGATCACTGCTACTATTTTGTATTTTTTTCAATAAACATTAATTAAATTTTGATACTGTTCGTTATCTCCATATTTCAGTTTGAATATTCCTTGTATCATTAACTACTATTAGGAGCGTGTTGTAATGGATATTTTTTCGTAGAAAAGCGATGGAAAATTGTCTTCTACATAGTTATTGTAATCATTTAAAAATTGATTGTTTGTACAGGATTAATAGAACATACTTCCTGTTAAAATTGAAGGTTTTGTTTGTGGAAGATTGTCATTTGAAGTACTTTTGATACAAAACCGGAGTATGATAGAAGCAAATGAATTAGAGAATTAGGGAAGACCTACAGAAACTCTATAACAAACTCTTTTCAAGTCAGCTTACTAGAGACTTTAGCGACTTGCAATCATTAGGTGATAATTAGGAGTCTAATTAAGTAAGAGATGTCTGCATTAATGAAATCATGCAATACCCCAGTCACGATACACTTAACGTTCCCATGTATAGTTACCGGGTATTACTATCGCCAATTCATCTGTGACAAATTAATAAGCATATACACCTAACACCTGTCAAATCTACCTGAGGTGCCCTTCATTCTCTGTCAATTAAGAATGTACCCAAATCACGTCTTCTTCGTCGAGTATGCAAAATCAGTTCAAACAGAATTCTTCATACCACAGATCAAATTAAGAAGAAAGGGGAATCTGACTAAATATGATGCATGTATTTTAAAAGAGAAATAATTTTGGAGATCACTTTAATACGCGTTTTGAAAAAAAGAAATAAAAATACCTTTGCGCCTTGAAAGTACACATAGATGTTAAGCTGTAAATTTTATTTATATGTATTCAAATACTTGTTTTTCTTAATTGTTTGGGATTTTGTAAAGGATAAATTATTATGTTTTAAATAAGGGTATTTGGTTGTTTTAAGAATTACTTATTAATTATCTGGGATTATGTGTTACATCGTACAAGTTTTAATAAAACTGATTTCATTGAAGAATATTTTCAATGAAACTTAATTTAGATAAGAAATTCACGCTTAAGCAAAATATGATTGGAATGTCTTAGCACATTACGATATAGGCAAATCATCCAAGCTTGATTTAGCAAAGATCGCATAAAATTGCCCCGATAGAAGCCTTCTACCTCCTTTTCCATGTGTCTTCAATTGTTCTACACTTTCCCACGATTAACGTGAGCAAAATGTATAAATTTTCCAATTAATTAAATAGATTTGGTGATTGTGGTAGATAAACAGGCCCGAGATGGCAGAAAGGGAGAGAAAAAAGCCATGTGGCCAATTTTATACTTATATACATTGTAGATAAACCCGTCTTATCAAATGAACGGTTGTCTCCGAGTTATTTTTAATAACATTTAAAGATATTAATATCAAAATAAGACAAATAATAAATATTTTCTTGTAAAGCCTTTCTATGAAAAAAACTTTAAGAACCCTTCATCAAGTGATAATGATTAAAGTAGCAATTGATGAACTGAAAAATATTTTCTCTCTTTCATTAGGCCCTATCTGTAGGAAATCATCGCTGTGAAAGATGAAGGGTTAAACTTAAGTACATAGCATACATTATGACTGTATATGTATACACGTGATCAAAAATTGAAATAAATAAATTATCATGTCAAATTTGAAAATAAATAATGCTCATCTGTTGATCACAAATTTGAGTTGTTTCTAAAATTTCATTTTGTCCTATTTTCTAGCAATAGTTAAACTATAACCGATAAACAAATTTGTGTTTTATGCGTATTTAACATTGATATTCAGGAAAAAGACAAACTAAAATTTTAACTTAGTCCCATTTATGCAATCTATAAACATTGAATTAAACTAAACATATCTATGCGACAATAGATTAAGAGGAAAGAAAGTTAAACATAATACTAGTAATGGATTTCTTTTTCATTTTTGAGTCCTTGATTTTTTTTTTTCGAGAACAACAAATCTATTTTTTTTTTATTCTGCGTTTCAAAGAAACTATTTATTTACTTTGCACATTTTCACTTAATTGTTAATTTTTGTCTCAAGTTTTTGGCATTAGTTATTCTATTCAAACATTGCAATTAAAGGTAGTTTGTAATTGATGCCGGGGTAATAAAAGAGCAACTTTTAATCATCTTTTTTTTTTGGAAAAAATATATGCACATGCAGTTTAATTTGCTTTATAAAAATTCTAATTTATAAACAAATGATCTGTTTTATACGTTAACCTAAAAATATATAATTTCTTGTTTCATTGTATTTATTCTTCTTCTTCTAGAATACAATATTTTGCAAATGAAATACAGGGGAGGCCCGAGTAGATATAATTATTATTTCAAATAGGAAGCCGCCAACTTGCTTTTTTTCTCACAAAGCAAATGTATTTTTTGATTCAGAATACTATTTAGATATTAAAATTATTATTAAGGAACCTTTAAAATAATCTACCTCTCGATTTAATTGATGACTCGTTTCTCTCCGGCTCAGAGTCCTTAGAGAGGTCTTAGAGTCAGATAAGGCGATGACATATTGATGGCGCACGAACTGTCAGATAACTAATAATGGTCTGTGTCTGTTTTAATTTCTAAGCTTCCGTAATAGTTCCTGTGGACATTTTTCTCGAGCCTTCGTTAAGTGTCCTCTGATCTGTGTCTAACAATTAAACTTATCTGTCTATACTCCGATAACAAGCATAGCTGATCAAATGTCGCTGATTGATGGATAATAAACCTTCTTTATTTTGGATTTAATTTTAAAAAGTGTTGAAAATAGCAATATGCAGTTTTAACATAAACTTTTAAAAGATCATTTATCATGATATTTCGAATTTATTAGTCACAAGTCAGTAAGATTTATTGCGACTTTCAGGGCATCATAAATAGAGAGTTTTTTTTAATTTGATAAAATAATTTGAAAATAATTAAGAAATGTTTCTGTAAAATTTATTTACTGGAAATCTAGGATTGTTCCTTTGGGGAGTTGCCTTGTAGGAATTTCACAATTAAATGTCAATGTATTGGGTTTACATTTCTTACGTGTTACTCAAATACACATTTACTAATAAAAAGATAACATATTTATCTTTATATCTAAGCAAGCATCTAATATGTAAAGACATTATACTTATGTCGAAAAAACTTATTTTTAAAATGAGGTTGATGGTGCAGATTGGTTTCCAAATTTACAGAAAGCTGGTAATGACATTTTATCACCGAACGCTCCAGTTTGGTAGAAGTTGATCTTGTAACGTGTTAATATTGACACAAACCACTACACAATGCCTCGGGTAAAGGCTGCCCTGGCCGTCTTGATCCAATGATTTTACAGGTAATTAGTTTTCTTTTCCCATCATTAGTGAATTTAATCATGTATATTAATGACCAATAAAATGATATCTCTCTGTCTTCTGCGGGTCCTCAGACCCCGTAATCTGGTCGGGGTTATTAATCTCCTGTCTCCTCCAATTTTATTGAAGAATTTCACTGGAAAATCCTTCTGTTTGAAGTATTGACAAACTCAGTCGAAGAAAAAGGAAAATCAACAATTTTCCTATTTCATTTGAAATGTACCACTTAATTTGATTCATTCTTTTTTATTTTTTAAAATAATTTTTTAATTTATTATCAATTTTTTTGTAAGCCTAAGGCTTGGTTTCAGTTTTCCATTGTTTTCGTTAGATTTTAAATTTCTTTTTTTTTTTCTACACTTTTTTCGTTTTAATTTGTAGTTTTTTCTTTCTTCTAAACGGTGATTTATTTGCTTTGTTTTGAAAAAAGTATTAGTTACAAATATTCTTGTATTAAATACAATATTAAATTTTAAAAGATAAGTATTTTTCGGTGGAAAAAAGACTAAAAGTAAAAGCTCCCGTATTTTCCAAAAAATTGAAAAAGAAATATTTAATCAGAATAATGTTCTAAACATCAGAAAAAATTAAAACCAGAAAAATTAAGTTGAAAATGACTTTATCGCTCATTATGGAGCGGAAGCTCGTGTTTCCTCGCAAGTCCCCAGCAAGTGACAGGGCGACATCTCTTTTGTGACTAATTTATGGACGGAGCGCATTTTTGTGTATCGTTTTTCCCGTCTACCCAGACCAGACCTTCATAACCCGTCAATCACCAAATGATATAACCCGATCACTACCCTTCCAGGGAGAATACAACATTTCATCCTTCCACTCCCATTGGTGTATTTTTAATTAGATGTCGCTGCTCCGTTCATACAATCCCGCCCCCTTGTGGTCTTGTTTGTTAATTTTTTTTTCTAAACCAAACAGGCCAAAAAGTTATTCTGGCATTGAAAAATATGTATGTTATGGAGTTTTATGATTAGTTCTAATATCTGGATGTGCGAATGACATGTAAAACGTTATCAATATTTCTACGGGATAGCGAGAAATTTCAGTAAAGTGTTACGCGATGGATTCCAAAGAAGAACGTGTTCCAGTGGGAAACGAACAAGTTGTTGCAAGATGTTCAAATTTCTCAATCGATGAGATCTTAAAGCCCACATTTGGACCATCAAAGAGACACTGGTTATCAGCGTTTTCCACTGTTGGAAAAGGTTCAAGAACAATCAACACATCAGGTCTCAGTTTAGATCTACAGAGAGACAGACACGAGTCTGCTTTTGTCAGACTTTCGCCCTCGGACTCTCAAGTCTCGGTCTGTTCCAGTCCGGATTCTAATCCAGCAGCTAACAGTCCGGTAGCCACTTCCCCAGGGTCGGACGGAAACGAAAAGCCCATGTGGCCAGCATGGGTGTTCTGTACGAGATATTCCGACAGACCCTCATCGGGTACTTTTAATTACATATGTTAACTAACCAGATAAATTACATATTTTAACTAACAAGGAACTCTGTTATGGTATCTTTCTGACGTATTTTCTATTTATCTAAGAAAATATGCGTTATGACTTCTGATCAATAGAAAATACGTCAGAAGGACAATATCGCAGTTATATTAACATTTAAGTTTTGATTATTAATGTAATGAAAGTTTATAAAACATATCATTTGTTTACAATGTTTTACATCTGATGATTAATTATTTATATAACCAAAACAGTATAGTTAAATGAATTAAAATATGAAGTAATGGTATTTATTAACTACAAGACACCTAAACTATAATTTTATAACTTTGCTATATTGTTTTTATTGATAAAAAAAGCATTCTTTCCATAACAAAAAAACTTAGATGGAAGTTGTATGAACCAAAGAATTAAACAGGAACAATATAACATAAACGTTGTTATTATATAGATAATATTCCTTTACAAAATTGAATGTTTATTGTCAAGACATTTTTGTATACATGGAAATTTTCGGCACATACCCCGCTAAGTTGGTACAAAGCTTGATGTGACATCCCACAATGTTTATTACTCTTCACTCAGCGGTGTGTTACAACGCACTTTGAAAAATTACGCACTTTGAAAAAATTTTTCAAAGTGCGTTAATTTTTGGGACCAGGTTAACGCACTTTTATGGGACCAAATCAACGCACTTTGAAAAATTTTTTAGTGCGTTAAGACTGTACATCATAATTTTACACCATGTAAACATTTAACGCACTTTGAAAAAAATTTCATGAAACAAAAGAAATTAGACTTATATTTTAGAAATAGACAACAGTATTATCCCCTCGCAACGTATGATGGGATATAGTGATGAACTTTCAAGAATCGCCATATTTTGAAATAATCAAAAATATGATAACATGTATTAATAATGTTTTACGCAAATAAATAAAGCATATATAAATTAATAAAATACAATAATTTAGTTTTAAATAGCTTTAAAATTGGTGAAAAATAAGCATTTTTTTATTCGTGTTTTGTCTATAAACATATGCCCCCCCCCCCCCCCCGTGAAACACAAAAAGCTTTGGCATAAATTTGTAAAATGACAGTCCATATTACCTGTAAATAAGGAATTTTTGTTTCACGGGGGGGGGGGGGGGGGGAGATGTTTTAAAAATATTTTCAGTTTTCCGTTGATTTCTATAGTGAAAAACACATGTTTTGCCAAAATTATAGAGTTATCTCTCTTTGGTATCCCAAATAAGTAAAGTTTTATGAAAATTCATATGAATATCTATAAAAATTTTAAGAATCATTCCAATATGTTAACTTTTGAGAATTATATATAGAAGAATAATATATCCTTCGTAGTTCTTTAAAACCTTTTGACCCCAAATTCAAAAGGGGTCTTCCTAAGGCCACAAGGATTCTGTTAAATTTCATTGCAAAAGCTCAAAGGGTTGTCGAGATATCGTGTGGAAACGAAAGCGTTACAGAAAGACGGATGGACGGACAGCTAGACGGACGGACGTACAGATAAACCCAAATTAATATCCCCCACTTTTCAAGCGGGGGACAAAAAGTATCAAATCAGGTTCAAATGATAATTTATCATACCTAAGATTTGTAGGAATATTGACTAAGCCATGCAGATTTTTTTTTTCAAAGTGCGTTAATATGGTGATATAACGCACTTTGAAAAAAAAAAAAAATTTTTTCAAAGTGCGTTAACCTGGTCCCAAAAATTAACGCACTTTGAAAAATTTTTTCAAAGTGCGTAATTTTTTCAAAGTGCGTTGCCACAGCTGTGGCTTAATTGGAGCTCATTATTCCCCAGTCCATATAGTTTTCAACTTACAAAGCTGCAACTGGGTTTGGTAATTTACCTCCATGATCATTTATCTAAATACAGGGCTAGATTGGACAATTCAAATTGTCGCTGTATTAAAGACTTCAATTTGTTGTATTTATGTAATGCTGTTTATCATAAAAATTGTCTATCTTATGAAAAATAAATAGCTATATATGTATATATGTAGATAAATTTGTAGCTAATCTTTATTGAAAGCCGATAATGTAAACGGAACAGAACTATCCGTCTACAATCCTTGTTAATATTTTATATGTAGAACATTTATTTAAATATTTTTATATGGAAAATATTTTTACTATATAATATTTAATAAATAGAAAATTCCTGAACATACATCAAAAATATTAAATCACATATTGAATATTCATCAAAAATATTTGAATTTTAAATAAAAAAACTTGGGAGAAAATTAATGTATTACATGTATTAACATTCATATTTCTAAATTAAATAGAAAAATCTACTGGTGTATTTAATTTTTAAAAAATAATTCACATAATTATACTTTTCTTTTAGAATATTTAAGCATTCATTCACTAGCAAGTGGACATGTAATTTTTTTTGGAAATTAAAATGTTTATTTTGATCTAGGTCCACGTTCTCGGAAAATCAAGAAAAAGAAAACCCCGGATGAAAAACGACCAAGAACAGCCTTTTCCACCGAACAGCTACACAGATTGAAATCTGAGTTTGAGGAAAGTCGTTATCTTACAGAAAAAAGACGATTAGAACTCTCCGAGGAACTCAAACTGTCCGAATCTCAAATCAAAATCTGGTTCCAGAACAAACGTGCTAAAATTAAAAAGTCTACAGGAGCTAAAAATGCCCTGGCCCTGAATTTGATGTCACAAGGACTATATAACCATTCCACCGTTACACTGTCAGACGAAGGTGATTCCTAGTGCTTATTCTGAGAATACTTTATATATTTTCATTCTCTATTGATATATTTATAAAAGTATTTTGATTTATCATTTGTACAAAGTACATGTATTTTAATCGTCATTGCAATAAAACTATGTTAACTTATGCTTTTTCTTTCGGTACATCTATTTTTCAAAAAGTACAAAAATTTGCAACGATCGTAATTTAAAAAAATTTTAAACAACTTAAATAAAATGGCTAGGGTTTTTGTGAAGTAAAGAATTTGTGAGTTATAGATGCTTGATTATGTTTTGTAGGAGTGTGCAAAATAACAACGATATGTTTGGGTTTTTTTCTAGTAAAGGCGATTTAATTGTATTTTCTGTATAAAACTCAATTTTTTTCAGAGGATTCTCTCACTTTTAAGAGTAGAATTTATATAACAATATATTTCCTACCATGATTACATATGAATTCACGTAACAAAGATAATTAAAAACTGGACCAACTTTTGTTTGTAAAACAATAGAGCATGATGTCTCAGTTACAGACATTTTATACTGTTTTGTTGCATACAAGTCAGTACGACTATGGTAAATTTGTTACAAGTAAAGAAATTAGCATTGAGATAACGTCGTACATAAAACCTGTTTTTTCTTTAATTATACTTTATTACAATTTAAATTTATCAAGGTGCTCAAAAGAAATCTGCAAAACAATAATTAATTGTGATCAATTTTGCTTGATGTTTTTCTTTGTATATTTTTTTCCTTAAAAAATTTTGATTATTTTTTAAATGATCCTGTAATTCAATATCTTAAATAGTTCCCCTGTTAAGATTTAACTTCTTTTTTCTTCTTTTTCCTTTTTCCATTAATTATGTACATATTCAGGAGAAACTCCAAAGTTCAAGAGTATCAGAGGACGAAGTTAATACAAAATCTTGTTCAGCATGAAAACCAAATTTGAATCTTGATTATTAAGACTTAAACCTGAAATTCTTAATTAAAAGACCACATATATTTTTATTTTCTTTTAATAATGGGATTCTACCGCACTAATGTTCACCTGATGACGCTGCCATAAAGATTGAATTACAAATGTATTCATTGACATTATCGTTACTGATCAGCGGAATTGATAATTTTTTCTTATAGAATTAATCAACTTAATTTACATATCTTAACCACTGAATTTTCTCTAAAGAACTTTAGAAGTAAAACTTAATTTTTTCCTTATTTTATTCGTTTCATATTGACATTGTTATCAGTATTCTGTTATACATATCAGATTTTATAAACACCCTGCTTTTATTCCACCCCATTCAAATCTTCCTTTTCCTGATGCTATCAATTGGTCATTAATATTGCTGTGGTCTATGACACTACTTTCAATTCGAGTCTTCTTTCTCTATTCTAAGCTTAGAACTATCAACTTTCAATGATATTCTCTCACGAAAGCAAAAGCTTTTCATGCTGGAAAAAAAGCCTATGTACATTTTAAGGTTTATTACAAGATACTATCAGTAGATTGTTGTTTATCAAAACATGAATATGCCCTCGGGATGTGGACAATCAAGGAGATAGAGGATCACCTTGATTACCAGTCTTTTTTCCCTAATACCATAACGATCACATATACAGCCGTTCATGACAAGTCTTTAATTAATGAAACTTGTTACAGTTCTGTCTCAGATTTGGAAAATGAATTCAATGTGGACATTTTATATTCAGAGTACGAGGTTTTAAATAGATTAACAGCAAGCTGTAGTATCCACTTTGTTTATTTGAATAAATTTACATTTTCTTTAACCTATATCACTTAATCTTAATTATATATCTTTTTTTCATTTGATTGATTTTCCACTGTAACAGTAGCCACAATAGAATTAAAGTTCCAAACTATTTAGCTTTTTCACAGTTAACTTGCATAGACGTTTCCAATTTGCCAGTGCACCCGTTTATCGTAAAATAGGGTTCCAATATCTAATCATCCTACTCGAGAATAATGTGAACAATCCTCGTGTGATTGAAAAATAATAGTAGGCTGTTGTCATTTCTTTTTTTCCTAAAATTATATGTCTGTCTATTAACTTGTTAAATTGTGTACTGTGCCCCCTTGTGGATTAAGGAATAGCTATCTCCACCTTGGTACAATTTCATTTCTTTCGGAATCTTGACTGAATAAGATGTCAACTCTATACTGTCATCAATCTATTAATGGAACCCGGGTATCCGACAGGCGACTTATTATCTCAATTATTCTTACTACAAGATTAACTGCTTTTTGAAATCCATAGTCAATTTTGCAGCCACTCAGACTGGGGCTCCTGGGGTTTCCTATTCACCCAGTGTATTGACATTCTTAGCATTTGACTTCTCTCTATTGCAAGTGGATATATGTTTTCTTTATGTGTAACATTAACAGGCTAAGCAGTGAGATGACACATGATTAACACATTCAGTCGCTGGAGTAGTGTTTCAGCATATATCATTGATTGTAGAAAATGTGTCTCGGGGCCGGTAAACACATCCTTAAAAAAAGAATAAGTTAGTATCACCCTCTCCATAATGAGAACATACGTCTAATATTGAATATTATTACACGTCTTTAAAAATTATATCCTGTATTTCTGCATTATACATAAAATGTAATATAGTATACAGTTTTCTCATTACAGAACCAGAACACACCGAAAACAGTTTTCTTTTCAACGCGAAAAGCTAAGTTTCACGGAAATAAATCCTGGTATTGCATATGGTTTCCTTTGATTATTTTGTCATCAAAAATATAATATAAATATTGATGTAAACTGCAGAAGCTGTTGTTGTGCATAATTTTGCAGGCATATATTATCGCAAGCGACAATGTACAAATATGCATAACACAGATCATCGTCCATATTTTAATGTCTCTATATACTTGAACTGTTCGGATTATGGTCCTTGCACTCATAAATTTAGATATCGGTACAAAAGATATGATGTGTTTTTTATTCAAATCATTTTCATTTGACATGAGCCTACCACTATTTCAACAATACCTAACATCAATATTGCAAAATTATTTCATTTTCAAAAATTTGAATTATAAAGGAATCTGAGGAGACTTTAGGGCATGATTCAGCTGGATTTTAATCTTTGTTGATAGTCTTCATCCTGACGACTCCGACAGATATAAGATTTAATTAATTCTAAATTATTCCTCAACACTTAATTCTGTAACAATTATACATTGTCATATCAGTTCAGAAGAATGGTAGAGGTCGGTTACACAGCGCATGAGGAGGTAGTTAAATTAATTCATTATCAAGGGGAGATATTATAAAATAGGAAATACATGTCTATGTTTGTAGATCCTGCAAATATATTGTTATGCATAGCAATACATAGCGATGAAATCTTAAGCCTTTGAAATAAAAGTCATTTTTATTTCTGTCAGGAGAAGATTTTATTACCGGTATTATATCGTGAAATCTGTATTCTTTATTTTATTTTAAGATAACCTTCACACATCTTATTTACCTACATTATACATTTTCAATTATATACTGTTATGCGCTTTATCATTGATTTTAAATGTACCAATAGACCTTCATAATTTAATTTCCATATGCTGCGATCAAAAACCCCCAAAAGTTTACATATGCCATTAACAATGTTTTGAGTTATTCACATTTAACACACGATTTTCGCGATGAACATTTTTTATATATTTCTTAAATTAATTTACATTAAGCATTAAATATTTTCAAATGCATACACGTAACCATGCGCGGATATGATCCCATAATATTCACATTCTTAACTTTTTCTGTAATATCTCTTTCTAGTTTGGTGTGTTCATTTTTCGAGATTTAGAAATGAATATTAATTTTACTGAGTGAAAGGTCATGTGCCTACTCACATGCCAATCGTTTCTAACGTCACTGGGAGGGGAATATAAAAATGATCATAGAATGATTCTTGTATTTCATATCTATAAGATGCAAAATTTTATTTATATCTACACTGTACTTTTATATTTCACATGTACATGAAATTATAAGGAGCCACTGTCTTTTTTTCGCGGGGGTGGGGGGGTATAATGAAAGGGATATTAACGGCGATTGAAAATGTGTGATCATTTCTGCATAATAGGCTTTGCAATTTATGCACATTATCCAACTGTTGTCAAACTCTGGCACACGCAACAAAATAGACAGTGTATATTTATAATAAGAAACTGGTATTTCGATAAAGACATTGTTGTTAGTAAAGTTTACTCATGGGGCCCAAATATCATAAACTGAAAACATTCCTTTTAAAAGTCAAAATTTTAAATCACTATAACTTTCGAATTAGCCTAATTTTGATAATAAAATAAAAGTTTTACTTTAATTGTGATATAAGTGTGAATTGAAGTTTTTTTCACAATTGAAAATGTTTAAGCTAATACATAAAATGGAACATAAGATGCATCAAAAATCAAAATTTTGACTTAAAGCAGTTTTTGGTCTCGTTACCTTAACCGTTTCCAGTTGGAATTTTACATGCAGGCTATGTTACAACGCACTTTGAAAAAAATGTTAAAAGTGCGTTGAATTTGGGACCAAGCTAACGCACTTTGAAAAAATTAAATTTCTTTTCAAAGAGCGTTAATATCGACCATATTAACGCACTTTGAAAAAAAGATAAAGCTTGATCAATTTATATACAAATAATGGTTATAATAAATAATTGACCCTTGTTGAATAACTTTTTTGTGATAAGGTCACTTCAGGACCTACGGAAGCCGGATAGGCTCATTTTTGAAAAGAAAAAAAATATTTAATTCGTTATAACAAGTTAGTTATCTCGTTATAACGAGTTAGTATCTCGTTATAACGAGTTAGTATCTCGTTATAACGAGTTAATTATCTCGTTATAACGACTTAGTTATCTCGTTATAACGACTTAGTTAACTAACTCGTTATAACGAGATAACTAATTCGTTATAACGAGATAAAGATAACTAAGTCGTTATAACGAGATAACTAACTCGTTATAACGAATTAAATTTTTTTTTTCTTTTCAAAAATGAGCCTATCCTGCTTTCGTAAGGACCTGAGATATTGACGTTTTAAATATTTTTAGGTTTTGATAAATATTGTTAAAGGGAAATAGAGAGAGATGATTGTTTAGTAT